AAAAAATATACTTAATTATTTTTAAATATATCGTTATTAGTTATTTAATTTTAAACAACATCTACTAACTATTATATAACTAAACAATTGTATTAATCGAATTCATTATCTACTATCTACTATCTACTACCATTATCCATCATCTGTTATCCACTACCTTTTACCTACTATCCACCGAACCACTATATCAAATAGGCCATAAACCAAACAGAAGTACTATTACTTATTTAGGAATGTTACCTTCGAATCTCGTGATTGCTGCTAAACGTTAATCTTCCACATTATAGCGTATGTATTATTGATTGTATCCTAGATTCATAGATTTATGTACTTGTTTTTGTGTTAGTGTACAAGGCAAGAATACTATGTATATATTTGTAAATATTAGTTGAGTGGAATGAGTTTGGTTTCCTTAAGTAAAGTTTCGAGTTTAAGTTTTTGTGAATGAAGAAATATGTGTTGAGAGAGTTCCTCCTTAATGGAGTCGACATGATTCGATTCTGAATTAATTAGAATCTAATACGATTTTCAAATACCATAAGGTTAGTAAAAAAAGAAATCTTAATTGAATAAAATATAAGCTTTCCATTCACCTTTCTAGTATTATCACATGACTTTAGAATTCAGGTTTTGTTCTTAAAAAACCTGTTATTTGTCTATTTGATAAAACCCAAATTAAGGTCAAAGTGGGCTTGTAGAAGTAAGGGTGCATATTAAGTCATGTGATATGATTTGAAGTTTATATTGGACCTATAATCTTGAAATACCCTAATTTTGTTAATAATTTGACGGTTTTTACCGGTTTTTGGAGCGAGTGTGTGATTGAAAATGAAAATTCTAGGGTGTATTTACTGTAAAAAAATAATAATGTCTAAGATATAAATTTGAAATTTAGCATAAATTATAACCTTTCCATTCACCTTTTCTAGTATTATCATTATTGCCATTCAAGGTTCGATCATCATAAAGAATAAAAAAGGGCCAAATTATCATGCTATGTATAAAAAATAAAAATTCATTTCAATTTAAAACTTTTAAGTTTTTAGGTTTTTTTTTTTATTTCGTGTCCTTATAACTTGTGCCTTAAGTATAGGTTATAAGGGCACAAGTTAAAAGTATTTTTTATTATAATTTTTTTATTATAAATGTTTATAAAAAATATAAAAATTGATATTAATTTTAGCTTTAATTTTTAATAAATAAATTTAATTAAACAGTTAATAAATTAAATATTAATTTTATTTGTATAAATTTATGACAAAAATATGTATATAATAAACTCTTAACCTATGCCTTAGAGCATGGTCAGACGAAACCTAGTTTTTTTTTTTTTATTATGTCTTGCATTTTTACCAATTTTGATAATCATATATATCTATTGGTGATAACAAGGGTCATGGCTGTATTTGGATTTGTCTAATTTATATCTTTAGGGTACATGTTAAAAAAGTATTAATTATATTTTTTTGTAATTAACCTATATAGAAAAAATAAAAATTAATTTTAAATTTATTAATTATTCAATTAAAATCATCTAAGTGATATTAATATTAAAAATAATGTCTTAATTTTATATTTTTTTATAAAAATTTATTATAAAATAATATATTTAATATATTTTTAACTTGTATCATAAGTACATAGGTTATATAAATCCAATTAAGAATTCGAACTTTGAAA